TATCGTTTCAGGAATAATTACTTCCTCTTCAGTTTTCTTCTCAACACATTTATCAATTGTTTCATCATCAACGTTGTCTGAAATTATTTCTTGTGATTTAATTGTTTCAAATTTCATTTTATTTTTTTCAACAGCTTCATTTTCTTTTTTCCCTGTTTCTTTATTACTTAAATTATCCTCGAGTAAATTTTTAACACCTTGCTTCTTTTTCTTTTTATCTTCTTTCCTCGATTTCTGTTGAATCTTTTTATCGACTATAGGTTTTTTTATTTCCGTAGAATCTGTAGCTGACTTCACGGATCGATCATTTTCTTTTAACGGTTGCTCATCTTCCACACTTTTATTAGAAGATATTTTTGGTTTTTCTTTTGCAATAAATTGTTCATTTATTACCGATTCAATCGTTGATCCTATTTCACTTTGCTCGCATGTTTTATCCATTTGTTTTTTAACAGTAGATATTTCCGCGAGTACCGATTTGGAATCATCTTGATTATTTTCATTTTGTTTATGCATTTTTTCATCATTCGTATCGACACGTGTGTCTAATTTTTCTTCCTCGATAAATTTCACATTTATATCCGTTTTATCAGTAATTATCTCATTTTCTAGACGCAACTTTTCTGCATCTTTATTATCTTCTTTATCTTTATTAATATTTCCCTTTGATTTGTCCTGCATCGTTCTTTTATTTTTCGATTTGTTTTTCGATTTACCAATGACAGGTTGTTGTTCATCCTTTTCTTTTTTCGTTATCTTAGAATCTTGCGGATCTTTTATTTTTTCAATATTCTCGTCATTAGTCGTATCAATTTTCTCTTGAACTTGAACGTAACTTTTTTCTTTCGTACTTGTTGTTTTTTCTTTTTCAATAATTTGAACATTTTCTGTTGATACTTCATCCGTTTTAAATTGTTTATCTTCATTTTGTTCAATAGATTTCTTCAATTCATTCTTTTTTGATTTATTTTTCTTAAATCTTTGCTTTTTACTTTTACCTTTATCTTTCTCTATTAACTCTTTACTTTCTTGATCTGAAATTATAGTCTTTTCTAAATTATTATCATGTTCCTTACTTGTTTCTTCGGTGACACTAATTTCCAAGGAATTATTACCACGTTTGTCAACTGTTTTATGTTTTTTACTTTTACTATTATCCACTGGCTCATCATCTGTGCTTTCTTGATCTAAAATTATAGTCTTAGCTGGAATTATTTCTGATTTATTATTTGTCATTTCTTCTTTATTCGTATCATCATTCAATTCTGTTTTATTATCCAACATTGATTCTTTTATGATGTTATCTGTATCTTCTATTACATTAATTTCTTTATGAATGTCTTTTTTAGATGACACTTCTAACTTTTTATTACCGCTAACTTTAATTTCTACTTTGTGATCTTTCGATTTAGTATTACTCTTCGTTTTCTGTTTTTTAGATTCACATTTACTGCTACTATCTTTTACATGTTCCTGTTTTTTCCCATCAGTAATTATTTCCAAAGTTTTATCTTTAATTATCGTTCCCTTCATTTTATCATTATCAAATTTGTCATCTTGTTTTTCAATAATTTCCTCCTTGTCACCACCTTTCAATTGTGATTTACCCTTTTTTCCTTTCTGTTTCTGAATTTCACTTTTAGTATCCTTATCCTGTACAATTCCTGTCATTGATTTCGAATCATCAGATATTTTGTTCTGTTCTATCTTATCCGATTGAATAATATCAGTTTCATTTTGATTCGTGTCAACCGTTTCAGTTTCTAAATCATTCGACCTATTGTTTCTAGATCTTGATCTGGATCTTCTTGATCGTAATTCTTTTCGATTTACAACTTCAACGAAACCTTGATCATCGATGTGAACTAAATCTTCGATGGGTGCTATTGGAGGACTTTCCTCAACAAAAATCTGCACTTGTGTAAGATGTTCTTCTTCCTTGGTAGGAACTTTGTCAATTTTCATTGTTTCTTGTTCGATGAACGAGGACGTGTCTAATGTTTCTTTTGTTTTTCGTGCCACTATAGCAGCCCACGAGTCTGTTTCTGTTTTAGAAATGATCTCTGAGTCTAACAAATCAGATTTGGATAATTCTGCATCTTCTGAAGTAGGAATAAGTATAGTTGATTCTACGTTTTCAGAAGATTGCAATATAACAGGTGAATATATTTCTTTTTCTATTTCTTCAGCCCACGATGATGTCGTTTCGATTTTGGAATCGTTCTTTTTAACTTGAACTTTAGAAGAATCCAATTCATCGGATGACAAATTTTCTATAATTTTAATATCATCCTTATCGATTTCTTTTTCTAATGCTACATTATCATCGTTTATATTCGTAATATCGTTAACAGGTGATTTGTCGAATTGAATTTCATCTTTAATTGGTATAGGTTTGTCGAGAATTATTTGTTCTTGATTTAATAATTGCGGTGAAGATCTATGAGATGATGATGATGATCCTGTTACTGATGCATATGATTTATTATTGTCTTTGTTAATGATTTCTTGTAAAACTTGTGAAGATAATTCAGAAGAAGGTTGTTCATCTTCAATTATATTTTCAGACATCGTTTCCTTATCTTTATTCTTTTTCTTTTGTTTTTTCGACGTCACCTTTCCAATGGATTGTTTAGATTCTTTCTTTTGAGAAACTTCTGGACACGTTTCTTTTTCTATTGCTGGTATTAATTCCACAGATTTTTCATTAGAAATTAGATCCGAAGATGTGATCGTTTCTATTTGTTCATTTGGCTCATTTTGTTGTTTTGTAGTAGTATCTTTAGTATTAATTAAAGATATCAATAATTTTTCGCTCAATTGTATTTGATCGTATTGCTTGAAAATTTCTTTAGATTTATTTGCATCTGTTAACATTTCAAACGATTTAAGTTTCTCAGGTTTAAGATCGATATTTAAAGTAAAATCTGTTTTATTCGTTATATCTTCGTGTTTGTTAACAATACCTTTGACTTCGTCTTTAATTTGTTTTTTATCTTCCTCTTCTTTACGATTTCGAATTTCAGATTTGTTCTGTTTTTTGTTCTTCGTTTTTGATTTAGTTTGTTCCTTAGTCTTTCCACTTTTAGAAGATTTAGGTTCTTGTTGGATATCTTCTGATACTTTTTTATTATCAACGTGTATTTCATTTTTATTCATAACTTCCGTAGTAATTATATTTTCCACCAATCGTTCTTCTTCTTTAGATTTTTCTTTTTCTTCCAGTATTTCTTTCTTT